GCATCTTGATCCTTTCAATTGGTATCGGAGCCGAGTGCTCTTCTATTAAGGCCTAACCGCCTAGAGCAAGATGTCTCGTGGGGATGGACCCCCTCCCTACTTTGAGGGAGATGATTTTCCTTATTAGAAAATTCGCATGGAGGCGTATCTAGAGGCCATAGACGTTGGAGTGCTTAGAGCCGCCACACAAGGCTTCCCAAAACCTAAGGATCCCATAAACCTTATTGGTGATGAGGTTAACTATGAACGATGGAATGCAAAGGCCAAAAATACCCTCTTTAGAGGTCTTTGCAAGGATGTGTTCAACCGTGTCCGGAACCACAAAGACTCCCATGCACTATGGTCGGACATTTGTGCGCTCCATGAGGGAACAAAGAGTGAGCGTGAGGAACGCTATCACCTTATCATTAAAAAGCTTAATTCATTTGAGATGCTTCCTAATGAATGTGCTAGCGAGATGTATTCATGCTTGAATGTGCTTGTAGAGGAAGTTAATGGGTTTGGACTCACTCAATTGCAACCATCCGATGTTGTAAGAAAAATATTGAGTGTTTTTTCCATTGATAAATATGGGCATATTGTGACCGTGCTACATTAAGGTGATCTTTCCACATCTACACCAACTCAAATATTGGGAAAGATCAATATGCATGAGATGTACATGCACATCACACCACAAGATGACACCTCCTCTTCCACCAAGAAGAAAGACTTAGCTTTCAAGGCTAGCCAAGAGAAGAAGGGCAAAGCTAAAGTGATCCTTGAAAGCTCAAGTGAAGATGATGATGACACCAACATTGCTCTCATGGTGAGGAAGACCACCAAGATGTTTAAGAAGCTAAACAAGAATGGTGTCAAGTTCGACTCCAAGAAGAAGAAATTCTTCACAAGTAGCAAGAGAAAGCCCATCTCTGAGATGGATTGCTACAATTATGGTGATCTCAGTCATCTAGCTCATCAATGTCCTAAGCCCAAGAAAGACAAGTACAAGAAGAAGTACAAGGACAACAAGGATGACTCAAGTGATGAGGAGAAAAGAAAAGACAAGCCACTAGTTAACATTATAAATATATGACTCAAGTACCCTAGTATTGGTCCCCGCCACCTCTCTTTCCACATAGTATGTCTCTTGAGTCATGACATCACCTAGTACTTGGTTAGGGGTTATATCTTTCAATCCTCCTGTTATGATGATCAACCTTAATGTTTCAAACCTTGGAGGTAGACACATCAAGAACTGATAGGAGACATCATCATCATTTACTTTTTCACCCAAGCTCTTCAAGTCATTCACAATAACTTGAAGCCTATAGAACATCTCCGGAATGCTCTCATCATCCTTCATCTCAAAGCTTGTTAACTTATCTTTGAGGATGTATAGCTTGGCACTTTTGACTGCCAGTGTGCCTTCATAGGTTTCTTCTAACCTTGCGCAAACTTCACTTGCCCTCTCAAGATCTTTGATTTGCTCAAACACCTTTGGATCAATTGCATTGTATATGGTGTTTAGAGCAATGGTATTTACATTGCTTGTTTTCTTGCTCTCTTGGAGTTGGATTTGTGGGATCAAGAATCACAAAATCATTTTCGGTCACATCCCATACCTTCTCATGAATTGACCCCAAATGCATCTTCGTTTTTCTTTTCCAATAGTCATAGGATGTGCCATCGAATTACGGTGACTTGCCCCCAACATTGTTGAATAAAATTTGAGCCATCTTTTGACATCGAAGGTCGTTAAGCCTTAATCAAATGGTGACCACTGCTCCGATACCATTTGAAAGGTCCTTAATGGCTAGAGGGAGGGTGAATAGCCTAACAAAATTTCTACAAAACACTTAGAGCAACTAATTAGTCAATTAGAAAGCGAAGCTTTTTGCTCTAGCTCTACTAAGTATTGCAAGCCACCTATCCAAGCAATTCTAGTATATTATGATCTCTATGTCAATCAAAGTCTAGGTCACTACTCTCTAAACTAGTGAGCAAGTAAGAGCTAATTACATCTATCTAGAGAGCCATTACTAAGAACTACAACTACCACTACACAAGAGTATATGAACGTAATGCAAGTGATAGAGATAGTTACCAACGCCGGCAAGAGACAATTAAACACAATATGAATACAAAATGAACACCGGGAGATATCCAATGAGACAAGTGACACACGATTTTTCTCCCGAGATTCACATGATTGTCGGCACGCTAGTCCCCATTGTGTCGATCACACACTTGGTGGTTCGGCGGCTAATAGGTGTTTCACAAACCTAGCCCAACAAATGGGCACAGCAAGAACCGATCCACAAGTGAAGGTAACTCAATGACACGAGCAATTTACTAGAGTTACCTTTTGGCTACTTCACCGGGGAAGGCACAATACCCCTCACAAATCACCGGGAGATGGCCACGAATAATCACCAACTCATGCCAATGCTCCTCCGCAGCTCCAACCATCTAGGTGGCGGCAACCACCAAGAGCAACAAGAAAACCTCAGCAACAACGATCCCCAAGTGCCACTAGATGCAACCACACAAGCAAATGCACATGGAATCACTCAATCTCACTTTGATTTGCACTATCAAGCAAAGTGATGAGTGGGAGTGAGTATGCTCAGCTCAAAGGGATGTCAAGGATGTGAAAAATGCCAAGAGAGGCCTCCTAAAGCCGGCCAGGTTCTATTTATACAGCTCCCTCAAACAACATACCCGTTGGCCAACTTAACCTACTGTTTGCGCATTGACCGGATGCGCTGCAGGGTGCACCGGACGCGTCCAGTGTATCGCCTGATGACACATGTCCCGACCGTTTGAAAATTACCATTGGCGCGCAACGGCTCCCTTGCTCGCGCTTGCTGAACTTGCACCGGACGCGTCCGGTCACATGACCGGGCTCGCAACGCCTCAGCGTTCGGTCCAACTCAGAGAGGTTCCAAAACGTGTTTTTGCCGACCGGACTCACCCAGCGTCCGGTCCTCACAAGACCCTTCTTCCCGAGCACCACGTCATCAGGACCAGACTCGCCACAGGCAGAGCTCCCGGAGCCACCAGATGTATCTGATCATGCATGACCGAGGCACCGGACGCGTCCGGTCCCACGAGGACCAGCGTCCGGTTACTTCTGTGAAACCCCAAACACCTCCATTTCAACTTCTATCACTTCACCCTTGCTTCCATGCGCCAAACACAATGTGTATCATTTTTGTGCATGTGTGCTAGCATATTTTCAAAGCATTTTCAAGGGTGTTAAGTTAGCACACTAGATCCTAATACAAATGCGTGTATGAACTCACCTAGTGGCACTTGATAACCGAGTTAACCGAGATTCTCCCCTCTTAATAGTACGGCTATCAATCATAAATGTGATCACACTCTCTATAGTGTCTTGATCACTAAACCAAAAATAGCTCCTATGGTTATACCTTTGCCTTGAGCCCATTTTTATTTTTCTCTTTCTTCTTTTCTAAATGTAGAGCACTTGATCATCACTTTGTGGTCATCACCATTTCCATGATCACCATCTGGCTCCACCACTTGGATTGGACCACCCTAACTTATCTACACACTTAGGCATAAGGTTAGTCCAATAGGTTTCATCAATTAATCAAAACCAAACTAGGGCTTTCACCCCTGTGGCGCGGGGAGGCATGGCGCCCCATGGTGTGGGGAGACCTGGGTAGCACGACAGTGTGAAGAGGGCCAGCGGTGTGGGGAGGAGGAAGACGTGGGCAACAGGAGGAGAGAAGAGGAGGGCGATGGAGTCAGGGAGGAGAGAAGATAACGTCAGTGTGGAGAGAGCATGGAATTAAATAAAGAAAAAAAGAAAAAAAAGGAGAAAACGGTACTATAGACATTTCACTGTGCTTAACCTCAAGGAGAAGTTGTTTACCAAACGTTTTTCTAAAATAGCTTCAACTCCACCGATAGACCTGCTCCATCAGCTAGAGCCAGAAAAAAGCTGCTCGACCGGTAAAGCAAAGCCACACCCTAACTCACCAGAAAATATACAAAAGGAGAGAAAGTGAAGATAAATAGTTTTAAATAACTGTACGACACCAAATGCATCCGCCATAACCTCTCAATTATGAAGTAAAGCAAATGTGCACATGTGACTTTTCCTTAATTGTGAGTGGATATTGTACTTACTATAATCTGAGTATAATTATAAAAATTAATGACATGTACATATGTGACTACTGTCATGTGAGAATTAATTTACCTACGTTATAATTTGAGTCAAATTTTGAAAACTTTGGATTACAGTTTTCTTTCTTTGAGGGAAGATAACATAGACCTGCGAAAACTTGGTAGTACAAACTGTAGATATAATCCAGCACAGACAAAAAGACTTGGGATAAAAAAACAGAAATGCAACGAGTCAAGTCAACCCAAAATGTCAATTAGGCCCCTCCATGGCCTCGCCTTAGCAGTTGGTGGAACTTGGAAGTGGAGGCAATGCTGTGGGCCATGCCATGGGCCCATTGCAATTGTGACGGTGGGCCAACTATGGTTTGGCTTTTGGCACGATATGACGAATCATGATGGGCCGAGAGAATTGATTGGCTCGGCCGGTGCTTGTCGTCGTCTCGCCCTCGTCGTCGTCGTCGCCGCCGCCTATTAACTTCCGGCTGGTGAGAACTGCGGCCAGCCTGGGGCTTGGGACGCTTCCCCCACTGATTGACGGAGCATGCCCTGCTGATAAAACGTGGTGGAGGGCGTCTCCTGCTTCCCCAATCCCCAGTGTCATTGTCGTTGACTCGGCGTCCCAGCTCCCAGGTCCCCACCCACCGCCGGAGCAGAGGAGGAGGCTGTTCGGCCATAAATAAATCGGTCCATCGCCTTGCCGGAGCTGGTGGAGGCCTGCTAATGATAAGAACGTGGTCACACAGTGGCCTTGTTGTGTCCCGGCCCCTACGTCTCGGTCTTGGTCGTCGTCGTCTTCTCTCGCCTCGCCTTGCCGGCAGAGGAGCGGCGCAGGCACCTGACCGGCCACAGATCCACCACCCATGGGCGACGCGCAGGCTCCCGGAGGTACGTGTCATCTCTCTCTCTCTCTCCCTGCGCTGGAAGCCTAGAACAGTAGGTCAACGTCTTGAATCCGACATGGACGACGGCGGGCGCATCTCAAGATTTTCCCGCTCCTCCGTGTCAGATCTCCTGATCTGGTCTGCCTGCAGTTCTTTGCGCTAAGCAGCTCTGACTTGTGCTACGCACAGGCTACTTCGTCGGCCGTCCGGCCAACTACGAGGAGAAACCGCAAGATGCTGCCGATGCACAGAACAGAGGGAGCACTCCTCCTGGTAGGTGACGCAAACTTCACCGGCGATCCACGCCGATTCAGTTTGTTTCTGCTTTTCTACTTTTCCATCGCTGTTGAGTTTGTGTTTTTTCCCCGGTTTTTGGTCCAATTCGTAATCCTCTCTTGATAAAACTATTTCGCTGGGTCTCCAGAGAACCTTGGGCAGCAGCAAGGCCAAGCGCCGTCGTCTGGTGGCCAGAAGAAAACCGGCTTCCTCGGCAACCTGTACTCCTCCTGCTTTATTATTAGCACACTAGCAAAATAGTTTCTTGGTAACTTCAGGATTCAGCTGGTTTGGTTGGTTAATCTGCTGTTACTCTACTCTGCTTTCTTCCACCAGGTTTTCATGCTTCTCCGGCGGCCGAGTGGAGAGCTAGCTGGCTGGTCTGGCCGGCCGTGCTCGGCATTCATTCTCTCAACGATTTCGAGTACCATCTGTAATCTGTATGGACTATGGAGGGAGACACGGCGATCTGTACCTCAAGTGCAACCTCTGTCTGATATCCGGAAAGCTGTTCTGTTCTCTTTTCCTACGATACCACTTGTTCATTACTACCACAAATGCGATTAAATGTAACTACTATTCATTCTATATATGTTTTGAATCAGCATTATATTCCTTTGCCGTTAGTTTGCCAGCAATCCAATCAGATACTCTATTCAAGTACAATTAATGCTTTTAGCAAGGCAGTAACTGCTCCCCTACAGGCTATTGCAGACTCAGTTTGTGCTTGAATTGCAGTTCTCCACCCCACCCCCCAATTTGGGACGTGTCTCTGCCCTTTCTACGATTCCATCGGTACCACTTCACTCTTGTTCAGCCCTTCCATAAGTTTACAAGTTTGAATTTGCTGAAATTTCCCATTCTAACCAATATTTGTACACTTTACTAGATTATTCCTCATATCGATATTCAAGTCCGAGTGGACTAGGAATCAATCAGTCAGTTTGACACCCAATCTATAAGTACTCTTTATGCTTAGCCAAAATTGCACATTCTAATATTTGTCCAACCTCTTTCTAGAGCCCCATATACGGTAATGTTTACTTGTGTTGTATACCCAGGAAGTGTACCTGAGCCAGCAGATGCAAGTTTATATTTGAAATCAATGGTACAGCTACAGTTCTCTTGACTGCTGACAAATGACTATTGGCAGTAGGAAGTGGTAATACATTTACCGTAACGGAAGTAACTTTTGAACTCCGCGGTGTTTTTAATTTTCAGCAGTTTGTTCCAAACCGTTGTATTTAGGCATGTGTTGACTGGAAACCATGATATTTAACATGGTACGAAAATTGTGAGATTGAGCCAATTGTTGCTTGCTAAATTCAAAGTTGCCTGATTAAATTCGGAGATGTAAATTTAAATCAGGTGGGCACCAATGGACCATTCCGCGGGTACATGTGCGGATGTGCCATCTCATATGCTGCTTCTGCAGGTGCATAGCTGGCAGTAGGTGACCCTTTTGCCGTCCTTGGTCCCGAATTTTTTACAATTTGGCTCTTTTTTTGAAAGTTTCTCACAAATAAACTCATGGCGGAAAGAATTCCGAAAATTGACCCTTAACTTGGCGCCATTGACATTGGCGCCGAGCTAGGCGCCATTGACGCTGGCGCCGAGCTAGGCGCCAGTGTCTCTGGCACCGAGATCCTGGGCACGGTCGGTGCCCTGCCAGAGGGCTCAGCACCAGAGTGACTGGCGCCGAGCTCCCTGCATTTAACCCCGGCCCAACCTTCATGCCCGAGCGTTCTTCCTCTTCTTTCTCCTCCCTCTCGGGTTTTTCTCTCCCCACTTCACCCTACTTCACGAATCGTCCTATTGGACCTTGAAAACCTTGATTTGATCCGTAGATCTTCGAGAGCAAGGTATCCTCACTCCCCTCCTTGTTTTTTTCGCATCGATTCGGTATATATTAGTCGGATTTTTAAACCTAAGAATCATCATCACTTATGGTTTCATTGTATCCCTCAATGTATGTATTATACAACCGTAGGTTGATTCCAAGGCGTGGAAAAAGCTAGCAAACCTAGGCGCATGTAGTTATGTTATGGGTTCATTGTTGTATATCAAATGGAAAACCCTAGGTTTAGGATTTAATGTTAACTGCTTTCGGTTATTAGAACGAAATTGGTTGTATTGTAGTTATGGTTCTCATTGATATTTATTTGTGAGCTTTTGATTTATGTTTGTTAAATTACATCCGTTTTGTTAGATGCAAGAAATGTTTCGGGAGGAGTTTTGGCGGAAACGGGTCGTCCAAGAGAATTATACCCCGACGCGTCTAGCAAAGATGCCCCCGTCCCTCCTGACCTCCCTATCCCTAACTGTGACTGTGCTTTCCCGGCCCATGTTTTTCAATCGAAACATCCGGACACAGCGGCACGTTGCTTCTACACATGTAGTCGGTTTAATGTAAGAAATTGTTTGCACTATCCTTTTTCTTTATTTGTGTAAGTATGCTACTAATATTTTATTAGAATCTCATTGTGTAGGACCAAGAGAGGTGTTTTTTCAGTGGATCGATGGTGCAGACAAGTTTGATCCTAGGTACCTCTTTTTCGACTATTGGTTTAGAGGGAGACATCCACGTGAACACTTCAAGCGGTGGGTTCCACCCCCCTAACCCTCCGCCAATGATGGCTAAGGAGAAGCACCTAGCCGCAGTTAGATGACTCGAGGAACCTCCTCTGTGCGATTGCGGAGATCGAGCTGTGATAAACCCTGAGAATACGTTGGAGTTTGTGTGTCCAAACAAACATAAAGTAAGTGCAAAGTATATGTGTTGAAATCTTGAGCTATATGTGTTCATGTACTAATGTCTCCGTATTTAGGTGTTTTCAATGGCGAAGTGTCGTTTCAAGGAGTGGTTGTATGGTCCTAAGAACCAATGGCCGGAAGAACCGCGGAAGGTTAAGGAAAAGAAGAAAGAAAGGGTAATCTACAAAGCACCTCCTGTCATATGCGAATGTGGTGTTAAATCTAACTATGGCCTAGTTCCTTCGGAGCTTGGAATAGGCCATTATTGCGGCCATATGGTTGAGTACGAAGAGGTTCGTTATTTTTGTGGTAAACATAAAATCGTATTTTATTTCTTTTGCTAAGACATATATGATATAATATTTCTTTTGAACAGAGCACTAGGAAATGTAGGTGGGAACGTTACGATGGTCAAGCTAAGTTCTTGGATGAACTGAAGAAGAGGAAACTAATTGCACAGAAGAGGGATATGGATCTGACTACGTCAACCTATTCGTTAAACATCACAAAGAAAATATGCGTGAGTTTGCTACACAGCGCGGTATTTGTAACCCGATCGATGTTGGGCTTAACAAATAGGGATTGGAGAGGCGAATGACGTTAGAGGAGGAGAGGGCAAGCCAGGAGTCAAGGGAGGAGACAAGAGTACAGATGTAGGTCTTGAACGAGCATGTTGCTGCCTTATGTGCCAGTGAGTGCTTGAAAGCATTTTTTTCGTTGCCTGATTTTAAATGTAATATAATCGCGTTGTTAACTGATTATATTTTATACATGAAGGGATTGATTGCAGCGAGGAACATACCGCAAAGGTGGCTCGTGCAAGGTATGAGGAGAAGAAGTTAGATGAGCATAGATCACGAGCTGGTCGCACCGTTCAATCACCGATTGTGTTGTCTGATGAGGGGACGAGGATGAGGACGACACTGGCAGGTCGAGTGAGCTCATTGCTTTAGCAGAGGCGTCGCATGCAAAAGTGAGAGGCCGAGGACGACATGGCGGACTTAGCGAGCTCATTGCTCTCAGCAGAGGTGGCTTGGGATGGCGTGGCCAAGGGGGCAGGGGCGCTTGGCGGTGGCGCTTGCAAGGGCGCAAGCGGCGGGCAGCGGCAAAGGTTTCGGCTAGGGTGAGAGAGGGAGAAGAAGAAAGGAAAGACGCGGGTCGGTGAGATATTTCGAGCTTCGGCGCCAGAGTGGATCTGGTGCCGAAGCTCGGGGCCAAGATCTCTGGCGTTGAAGCTCGGCGCTTGATCCACTCAAGCGCCGAGGCCTCTGGCGAAGCGGGCAGCCGTGCCAGGACCTCGGCGCTTGAGAGACGCTGGCGCCTAGCTTCGGCGCCCGGCGTTAAGCACGGCGCAGAAAGCGAAGGGTCCATTTCCGGAATTCTTTCCGGCAGGGGTCTATTTGTGAGAAACTTTCAAAAAAAAAGGCCAAATTGTAAAAAATTCGGTCCTCGGTCGCGTGGGCGTGGCTGCTACCGTCTTATAGTTCCTCAGTGTGTACGGAACAGATCGGGACGCCGCCGTCTCCTTCTTCCGTCGATCTCGGCGCCCCACTCTTGTCCTTATCGGCGTTGAGACAGAATAGAGGTGGAGGTGCCTCTCGATCTTCTTGCTATTCCAACCCTGCTGCCTACTCAGCCGCCGGATCCAATGCCCCCAGCCGTAGGTGATGAACAGAATGTTCATGAGTGTCTAGATTCGGTTAGTTGTTGCTACTTCATCTGTCCATTTTTTTTTTACATTCACACAATGTTTCACATCCTCCGACCCATATGTCGTAAATGATCCGGATTCACGACTCGTGATCATACGAGATAGAGGGACTTGCCTCCAGCGATAGTAGGAGCCTGATTCCAACGTGTGTCAGGGGATAGCATGGAGTTCGATTCCAAAACATATTAATTAAAACAAATCAGGATCGTTAAATCACTGAGCTGCAAATGGTCTAGTTGAGTGCAGCAAAATTATTATAATTACGGGCACCCACGTTTGCTAGTAACAGATACAGGTAGAAGTTATTTGATTGAGCACGTGATAAAATTGCCTGGGCGGACCAAGCAGACCAAGATTAGTACCAGCGGACGCAGCCCACGCACCCCCTCGTGTGAGCGTGGAGAGAGGGGGTCCACAGTCCTCACGTCCCACCGCTCCATGAGCTCACAAAAATGTGAACACAAATGCCGGCCTTAGTTTCGGTATGGAGATGAGAGAGAGAGAGAGAGAGAGAGAGAGAGAGAGAGAGAGAGAGAGAGGGGTGTGGAAGCTACCGTGTGGACGCTGACGGCGAACTCGGTAGACCACCAGGAGCTAGCTGAATAATTGCCGCCTGGACAAGGCGTCGTCCCCTGCTTGTCCTACAAACTCCAGCCAGGGCGACCGGCCGGCCGTCTCCTCGGCCATCCTGGTCGTCTCCCTCCTCTCGGCTCTGCCGCGCGGCTCGTAGCCATCGGCCATCGCCCACCCGTCGGCGAGGAGCGGTGGCACCTAGCTAGCTGATCGCCTGGGGATCCGCCATGAGTAGCGGTTAGTGATCTCTCTCCATCTTCTGACGATCGAAATCAGTCTCTCTCTCTCTCTCTCTCTCTCTCATGATCTGGTCAACTCAACTCATCTTAATCATCTACTGAGATATGATCGATGTTTCTTTCCACCTCTTTCACAGACGGAATTAGCGCTTGTTTTCTTGGTAGGGGCAATTTTGTTGCATCTTGTGAATTGTGATGAATCGCATGTACCTTCTCGGCCTGTATCCTGCGACTAATTAAGCCATACACTCGTTTTCTTCTCTTTCTGCTCTTCAGGGGACTACTACGTTGGCCACCCAGTCACGTACACGGCGCCGGGAACGAAACAAGCACTGCAGGTCGCCGCCGGCGGTGAGCAAACCCCAGTGAGCACCCAAACTCCTGGTCCGTCCATGCTTGCTTGCTAACTTAGTTTTTTTTATTATTTTTTTTATTTTGAGGAAACTGCTTGCTATGCTAACTTAGTTACCGACGATTCATTTCGGACCGATGAACTAGATATAGAGTCTCTCGACTTGCTCTGTTTGTTGTCGACTAAATTGAACCTCGTGTTCGGCTGTTCGCAGGAGCAACGCACAATTACAATTACTACGTGGGTCACCCGGTGAGCCCTGAGAAGACGCTACAACCAGCACAGCCAGAGCCAGCTCCGTCTCCGCCGCCTGCTCACAAAAAGAGACCAAGCTTGCTGGCCAGATGGTAAATATTCGACTGATTCGCCATCAGAGCAACTCAATTACCTACCTACGGATACCATTCCAAACTCGCATAAACTAATTTGTTGTTTTCGACGCTACTAGTACTGAATTGATTGGTGATGGGTGATATATAATCTCTTTCTTCTCCGTCTCCGGCTGCAGCTTCCCGTGCATCTGTGGTAGTCGAGTTGCCGAGCAATAAGATTGAGAGCAGTTTCAGCCGCGGATCGATCGAAATCAACGGGAGAGAGAGAGAGAGAGAGAGAGACGACAATTCAAGTAAACTGGACGGATCGGAGGAGCTTCATTCTGTACCTGAACTGCATTATTGTCCTGTGAAAGAATCTGGTATTTTTTCCTTGTACACTTGATAATTTTTTTGAGATTGATGCAGAAATATTGAATATTCAATGGAACTACAAATTCAAATACGCTGCTTCCTGTTTTCTTACAAGAGCCATTGACTTGTTCTAGAACTAATGTTTTCGCTATCAACATTTTTTATTGTGATTTAAATGCGGATTTCCCCTTGATTATGTGAATCATGGAAAGACGCCGTGGTGAAATAACTACCGAATCCATGAAAAACAACTTGGGAGGGACCGGCCTTGCTAAAATGTATTCCCCGCGTGAGATTTCGTATTTTCGTTTACGAAAATGCAGGTAAGTTAGGATGTGGCTGCGCTGCAAATAACCCCTACCAACCTTTCCCAATAAGAAAACCATTGCACTTAAAATTGTAACTCTCAAGAAAATCCTTCCAGTTAAAGTAATAAGCCTAGGCTATTGAAGAAAATTGGTTAAGAAAAAAAGATCAATAGTGTTGGGCATATGCAAAACACACCGTGAAAAAAAAATCAGAATCTTGCTGTGGATGCAATATTTCCTTACCACGGGCACGGAGGATGTGGCTAACAGTGGTCATCGCCCGTACGGAAGCGGTTTGACTGTGCAATGATATTTTCGAAATCATACTAAAACTGTCCAAACCATGTATACGATATATCGGTATGGTTGGTTTGTTGGAGGTCAGCAATGCATGCACCCAATAACCCGCTGATATTTCGGCCGATGCAATTGACGCTGATGCCTTGTTACGTAGGCACCTGTCGCTGGGACAAGGCGTTGTGTTGTATCCATCCAAGATTCTGCTGTCCAGACCTCGTTGCCATCTCAAATTCGCAACAGCAGAGCTAGTGGCAGATTCCAATTCCACGGCTAGGCTGGGGGTGTAGTTGGATAATCATTATTTTTTGAGCCAATGTAAGGTTGTTTCGGATAATTGTGCCGGAGCTGAATCATTGCCAGTCTGGCGAGAGGAGCTCTCTGTCCCTCTCTCTGTCTTCTTGACTTGTAGCCATCTCGGTCGTCTCGTCTGTCCTTCCTTGTGGCATTCTTGGCCGGCTCGTCTTGCCAGTTGCTATCACCGGCGTTGGGAGAGGCTAGCTAGCGGGAAGAGGCCGCCGGCAGATCCGCCATGAGCAGCGAACAGAAGAGCGATGCTCATGGTACTCTCTCTCTCTCTCTCTCTCCCTCCCTCCCAAACTAGTCAGCTCTTCTATGATCGATGATCCTTCCGCTTCAGCGACAGATGAATAAATAACTAAATCTATTCAGTTTATCTCCCTGCCCTGTCTTCAATTCCTGCGTCGAAGATACAGAAAACTCTGTTTTCCTCAATCCTCTGTCGTCGTGCAGGAGGCTACTTCGTAGGCCATCCAACCAACCACGCCGCCGAGAAGACGGAAGAACCACCACACGCCGCCGGCGACCAGAACCCGGTGACCGCGCAAACTCCTGGCGGTAGGTTCATGCTTTGCCGCTTCAGCTCATTCATTCATATAAAGGATCCAGACATGCACACATCGTTGTTCAGTTTTCTGGATTTGCTGTCTTCTTGCCAATTTAAAACTGGACCCATTTATGTTATCTGTCCGAATGTAAGATTACTTCGTTGGGCGTCCGGAGAGCCATCACAAGCAGCAACAAGCGGCAGTCCCGCAGCAAACCACTAAGCAGAGCACACCAAGCTTCTTGGCCAAATGGTAATCCTAATCTCTCATTAGCAGTATACACAAGGAATCAGTTGTTCTCTCATTAGCAGTATATCGAGTTCAAAATAACTTCACATCGACGTTCTCGTTAGTAGCAACTGCCGACTGATCAGTTGTTCTCATCTGTTTCTTTCTTCTCTGTCTCCGGCCTGCAGCTGTCCGTGCCTCGCCGGCGGTGGAGCTGCGGAATAGATCAAGAACTGCCTCTTGCTGCCCTGGTAAGGGCACCCATTGAATTATGCACAGGAGGATTGGAGTAAATTTGGGATGAGGCTCTCTATATCAAATGTATCTGAATTGCAACTTGTGCTATGGAAGCTGCTCTTTCTTTTTTTTTTCTTCATTGCTCCACTTTTGATCATTTATTTATACACATCCTTGTGCATCCATAACACTGCCACGTAGTGCAAAAGATCCAACCAGCTGGTTTATTTTCTTTCCCCTCAAACGATACTTTCATTTCAAAAAGTGTAATGTATTATTATTATTTACTTTGCTTGCGATTATTGTGAGCTTGTATTGATCATGAATTGCCATATCGTTTAAAAATACATGCGTCAAGTTAACTTTGAAGCTCTTTCAGGTCAGTCTTGTACATATGCTGTGTTCAAATATCTGAATTTCATTTAACCACTTATATTTAATTAAACCATACATAAATCATAAATGGAGGGTTTTTAATATGATCAAATATATTGCTACTGCCTTCATGTAGTAAAAAAAGGCGCTTTCGATTCTCCGCCTACTAGCCCCAGAGCCATGGGCCACAAGACCCGTTAGGGCGAAGGGTAAACCCTGCTGACCTCGGCGCCGCCGCCGCCGCCGCTGGCCGCAGCCCCGGCGCCGGCTTCCCCCTCCTCCCCCTCCCGTCCCCTCCCTTCTTCCACCCCCGTCCTTCACCATCTGCGCGCTGAGGCCGGCCATGGCGACACAGCTGCGCCATCGCCGTTCGGGAAGGCGCCGGCCATGACGGCCGCCCCCTCCCCGTCTCCACCGGCGCCGGTTGAGCCGGCGTTCGCCTCCCCGTCCCACCTCCTTCTCCCTCGCGCTACTCCCTTCCTCGGCAGGAGAACTCGGCGCAGGCACCTGCCAGCGCGCGAGCAGAGCCGCTGCAGTCCGAGGCTGCGGGCGAGGTCGAGCATGACGCCGAGCGCGCGGACGAGATCGAAAAGCACCGAGTCGACGCCCTTGTCGACGAGCACCACCTCCAGCGAGGACTCGGTGGTGTCCACTGCCCGCAGCGGCCCGGCAAGCCTGGCTCTCGGGGCGCGCGACCCGCCGCTGGGTCGTCACTTCTGGGGGCCTCCGGGGCTCCGCCGCAGCCGGAGCCGGCAGCAGCCATGGAGACGGCGTCCTGCTGCTTCACTGGTCCAGATCCACTCGACGCCTTCCTGATTCGTCCGGATCTGGTTGGGGTAGGCGACCCCTACCCGGAGGTCAGTCCGACGCGGCCGGCTGCCATGGGCGGCTCTGCTCCGAGCTCGTCCGCCCCCTCCTCTCCTCTCCCTCGCGCGGGATGCGGTGCTGAGGAGTGCGACGCACGGCCGCCGCCGCCACCCGCGTCTCCGCACTGCAGCCGGGAGGCTGCCTCCGCTGCCGGCGCCCCCAGCTCGCCCGCCCTCTCTCCGGACGCGGCTCCGTTCTACCCAGGTGGAACCCGGGTGGCCCCGCGGGAGGGCGCAGGAAGCGCAATCGGTGGGCGGACGCGGACGGAGAGGAGTCCGACGACGACCACCCTGCCAGCTACCTGGACGCCGCTCGTCGCCCGGCGAAGCCGGTCGCTGTGTCCCCGCCGCGCGTCCAGACTCATTCTATCGTGATTCTGGGCCGTAGCGAAGCGGAGGCGGGCCGACAGGGTCCTGGGCGAAGGCGGGGGGAAACGCAGTCGACCGCGCCCACAGCTGGTGTACGGCCTGCCTGTTCGGCCAGTGGATGGCCGCATCCCGGCACACCAACGCCTCGGCCGCCGCGAACGGGTCTCCGCCCCCAACGCCAATGGGTGGCGGGAGATCCTCCCTCGGCAGGAGGCGCAACCTGCGACCGCTTCAGCTGAGCCTCACCGCAACGCAAAGCAACCTCTGTAGACCCGGAAGGTTCCCGCGGAGCTTCACGGCAAATGCTTCAACTGCCTTTCCTACTCGCACCGGGTAGCAACTTACCGATTGCCACGGCGTTGCCTGCGCTGCCATGTCTTTCGCCACCTCGCCAGGGACTGCAGGCGGCCTAGGCATGTTGATGTGGCATCGGCGACGAAGGATGGCGACCGACTGTGGCACCCCGCTTGTGGCGGCAACCCACCGGCCTCCCAGCATGCACCCCGCGCAGTTGGAGCTGCGCCGATTGCTGCTAGGGACGGCGGTGGAGGGCGTCCACGTCGGAGACGTCGGAGACATCGGCGACGGCCAAGGGGGGACGACACGCTACAACGACCTCCAATGCCGCCACTAACCGTGCTGCCCGGGAAGGTCACGACGAGCCGACTAGCCAGATGCGCCATATATGGGGCCTCTCCGAGCTCGATCCACTGTTGCTCTCACCATACCCGGACCACAGCGCGACGCCGCCACGTGAAGTCTCAGAGAGGACTGATGATCTTTGGAGGAGGTTGCAGCCTAGTTCGTAGCCACCAGTGTGAGCACCTATGCCACTTCAACAATGGTCTCGCACCTCGCTCAGTTAGCAGCGGACTCGATTCCACCGCTACTTGAGCTGACGAGCGATCTTAGGTCACGCCGCCTCAGGCCGCGTAGAGCACCTTAGGAGCTGACGCACCTACACAGGACGAGGTGGGTGGTCCGTCTAGCTTCAGTCTGGCCGAGCCCGCGATGGTTGCAGACATGTTCAGTACACCGCCTCGGGAGGACCGCACGGTTGACGTCAGCGATAGCTCCGCCACACGCCGCCTCAAGAGCTTCACCCGGCGCATGCTGAAGAAGGTCGACTCTCCGTTTATTCATGAGCCTCCCAAGCAACATCTTGCTAAGTCGGTGCTGCCGTGGCGGAGCAGGCGGTTGGCGGCTCAGAGCCTCTCTCGAGTACCTGCTTCCAAGCGAGGTGAGGTGTTGATCATACAGTATATGGGCTACACCAAAAGTCCAGCAGCGCCATCCCCGTCGGAGCTGGAGGCCTTTGACAAGATCTTCGACGGCAACCTAACTGCGTCCAACGTCGAAGCGTTGGATGCGCTCTTCCCGGACGGTGGAAAGGGCTCGTCCAGGCAGCCGCAAAGACGCAAGGCCACCTCCTAGGTCGCACCGTTGTGTCGGTTTTTGTTGTTTTCTATTTATGTAATATCGAAATTAGAGGTCTTTTGCTAGGATGGTCCGGCTACGGCTGTTTTAAGTCAACCTCCTTCGACGCTCGATAGAGACGTGTTGTCTGTATGTTTAAACTCTTCTTCTTAATACAATGATACGCAAATCTTTTGCGTATTCGAAAAAAAATGTAGTAAAAAAATCCTGAATCTTGGCAACACTTTTGTTGCAGTAACAACGTAGTTTTTAAGGGTTTGAACACATCATAAAACGACACGCATGTTTAGTAAAAAAAAGGGTAGCTTAGCTTTTAACTTTAGATGTTAATTGGACCTATTAAAAGAAAAAGAAAAATGGTACTACTTAAATATGAGTTAAGGATAGTTACAGGATTGTGTCCTTACACGATCTGAATACAACTTCTGCTGATATCGGTATCTTAATCTGTACTCAGACTTGATCAACGCAGATAAGATGCAGGTACTTGTTCCACTGCTGATGTGTTTGACAGATGCAAGATGAGACAGGCAGCTGCTTCAAAATGTGTGTCCCGTCGGAATAAAGAACCGACCAAGTGACAAATTGTTATGTAGTACATGGGCTGTTTGGATCTGCTGACTATTAGCCGGAGCTAAAGATTATCTAGTTAAAAATTAGCCAGATAACTATCAACCAGTGCATGTTTGGATGCCGGTTAATAGGTGCATACATTCATTAGCAATGAACCGTTAGCCCTTGTTAACATGTTGTACTTGCTAATGGGCTAATAACTTGCCAAGGGCTTAGCTAAAAATTAGCCCTAGGTTTGGATGGACTAGATATTATTTTTTAGCTGCTAATTATTATGAGCGTATCGGTGCAAAAAACCAATCATCAAACTTGAAAACTAAATCGGGAATGCTAGATCTTTGATCCAATGGATAGGGTGAGAGGTAGGATTTTTTGCGCTTAAGCCTCCCACCCGTTGGTTTTTTTTTTTTTTGCGCTTAAGCCCCCTCACCCCATTCATTGGATCAGCATCTAGTGGTCCTGATGGGTACTTTTCAAGTTTACACAAGTTGGTTGGTTTGCACCTGATATATTACTCTAATTATTAGCCCATGAAATCCAAACATACCCTACGATAGTTGGTACCAAGTTTGCTCCTTTTCATTCAGCGAGGACCAAGTGAACCTTTTTTTAATTGGCTTGTTAAAAGTTGTACCCATGGTCCTGTAAAAGCTCAATGAATAGAGTTTGGTATGTTAATTGTTTTAAATTAAACAAGTATCAGCAATAAAGCTGGCATTTATGGTTTGTGCTGACTTTACTTAATACTAGTATAATGCCCGTGCTAACGCTATGGCATCACATAACCAGACAAATCAAATAACTAAAAGGCATACTCTAGGCTAGCATGAACTGCAATTCGCTTGCAGATGACTCACCCTTCATTAATATTGATAGGTATATATTTTCCTGTCATATAACCATAGCATAAGGAGCAAACTCTCTTGCATGCCTACATACATTTTCGCAGTATAAAAAAAGGTTACCCACCTCCTCATGCTATGGATATATGACATGTCACGGTGACAATGACACCACAGCCAATTCAGCTTCGATGCCACCTATCATCGCTTCACCAGCGCGGTAACAAGAATGTTATCAAAAGTCTTGTTGTGAGCTTCTGACTGATGCACAGCTCCTCTTGCCAAAAAAAATGTTTCCCTAACGCAAATCGCAACTGGTAGCCATCTGGCATCGATCTGCTAAACAAAAAAATTTAGTTACTATACTATATTTGGCAAGAATTCATGAAGTAGATATTACACAAGAAAATTTTAGTCAGTTTTTTTAACATTGCAATGTATTTCTTTTCTCTGGTTGACATCTGCCATTCTTTTTAGTCTACAAATAATGTACAGATTCTGTATTGCAACAAGACGGGAAAGGACATCAACTCGATATTGAACAATCATCTAACATCCTTCTTGATTTATCTAAAATCAAAATGACAATCAAACACAGCCTTTTAATTTCAAGACAAAACTCAAACGGGCCTCCAACCTAGTGGTTGGCTTTTACACCAAAAAAAAGCCCAAGATACATCCAAAATTTACAGGTGCCTTAATGATCGAGTGAGGTACTGGATCTTGAAGATCTTTTTGCCAAGAATGGATGGATGAATCATAATAGACTTTGCTTTCTTGATTACTTCATTTGTGTTCTCATTGTTCCCCCATTCTTAGCTATATGTTGGATACTTTTCATTTTTTTTAAAAAAAATGCATGCCAGTAGCATGCAGTCAACTACCTTTTTGTGAGGAGCTAATCAACTCCCTTTCAAGAAAAGAAGTCCAATTCTTTTGGTATATAATTTCGATAATAATTTTACGTTCTCATATTGTAAATAAAGAACAAATGATTCTGCCGGGAATGTGGTAACAATTAATATTTCTATATAACTAAGAGTTGTATGGAGTTGGTAGTTGATTGGTCCTAGTCGTAGCACCCAAGTTGCGGGTAGTGTGGCACTCACTAGTTGTGTGGTTTTTTAGCCCGGTTTTCACTCAAAAACTAGTTTGACACTTGTTTTATTTTGCTTCTTCTAATAAAAATAGCGGCAAAGCTTTTAATTTGTTGTCCCTTCGAAAAAAAAAAATTTCTATATAAATCTAACTACTCACTATGAGACTAGAAATATTTTGGCATTCTGAAGAGGCCCTAACTATGTGCTTAGTGGACACATCATTTTTACAGTTGTTCCAAATATGTGTTTATAACTTTATATGTGTGGTTTTAATGATTTTGTTTGCAAATTATTGAAGCCAATTCATAGATAAAGGCTTGTGACCTATTTGCCTCCAATATATATCGTCAGACCCTTTTGTTTCTTGTAATTGTGAGAAAGACATGCACTAATACACAAAACACAAATCCATCAACATTCACATCACAAAATGTCCACTCCATATCACCAAGCTAGGGACATGCATGCACACGCTGAACGCACTCATGTGCCTTTAAATAGGTGGACATCTCAATTTGTAAATCAGTGATAATGAAGTCCCGTTTCCATGACTTAGTACCTCCCAATTGGATTGTTCTGTTTGTCGACCATTTTTTTTTTTGGGGGTGGGGTGGGGGGGGTGGAGGAGGATATGATATGTGCAAAGCAAGCAAACACAAATCTGTCTTTCAAACGGCCCCAAGGAACCAAATACTGTATGCAATGTCAAACTTATCTCACATTACTGAACATTACAGGCACAGCATGTGGCTATCTGCCAAGAACTCATGACCGTATGAGCTTTTAAGAAGCTGGCACAATCCATAAAAGGAAACTCTGCCATTAAATTGTGTTAAACTTTGCCTCATAAACGTACATGTGCCAATGTTAAGCCCACGGTTTTCTCTACCAATATAAAAAGCACCCGTTGCAAACTTCCCTACAGCCACCCAATCAGTAACCCCGCAGTCATGATCTTTTTTACATGAAAAAAAATGCACCTAGAAAAAACACATCTTTAAAATGAACGCATCAGATTCAATTTTGCCTCTCCTTTCTCTTGGTCACTCAAATCGAAAGGCCTAGTTTGGATCAAACCTCATGACTCATCCCGCGGGCACCTCCGCCCCACGCGTGGCTCTCCCTCTCCCCCGATGCCCCCTCTCCCGACTTTTTCTCTCCCCCAGGCCCAACTCCGACTCCTCTCCCCTCCTCCCCTCCCTGCCCCACCATGTCGCTCGCACACCCCTTCATCTCTCTCCCGAGGCGGCGGCGGGTGCAGGGCGACGGCGCCCCCGCGGGTGGCGCGTTGGCGCGAGCAGTCCCCAGCGGCCCTCCTCCCTCGCGCCATCAGGGCAAGCCCACGCAGGGGCGGACCCAGGGCCCGGCGACCTTGGCCGCCTGCCCGGGCTCCGCTGCAAGTCTGCAATTGCGCCTGAAAGGTCTCCGAGGTCGCACAGGCACACACCAAACAGATACGAGTAGATTTTTTTAGCACTAACAGATACGAGTAGATGCTAGCAGCTTTCGTGTGACTTGGACACAGCGAGTTGGTTCCAAAATGTAGTACTGGAGTGGTAGCAGAAAAGCAAACCCGCCTAGTGAATAGAGGCTCATTAATTAAGTGAAAATCTGCTGTTTAAACTAGAGCAGCAGTGCATATTGTGCGCAAGGCACAACGAATTAACTAATTAAGTAATGATGAACCAGCCTATGGTTGCACGTGAGGTCACATATTTCTTGCTTGTCTTCGGGGAGTTGTAGTTCTAAAACTCTGATACTCACAGCAAGGCGAATGGCTGTGCTATGCTCCGGCACCTGTGTCACTGTCTTTCTCTTCTTTAGCCATGGAATCCATCCTAGTTTCTGGGTTGGAACTATCCGCAACGCTGCTCTCTTGAGGTTCGCCTTGGCTCCATTCAATCTCTGGGTCCGCCACTGCCCCCACGCGCGATCCTCAGGGCTGTTGTCTGCGTAGGCCTCGCCGTATGATCTACGAGGAGGCCTCGACGTCATCACCAGGGTGCTCCGCCTCGTGCGCGACTAGCTGCTCGTCTGCTTCTCCTACAGCGGCGGGGGCGGCGCCGCCGGCGGCAGCACCACCCATGGCCTCGGCGGCGGCGAGATCCGGCCTCCGGTCGCTGGTGGTGCGCGCCGCCATGTTGAGGCACCGCCATGTCCTCCTCCATCCACGACGACGCCTGTGCGCACATCTCGCCGCCGTGGTTTGCGAGACGGGAGACCCGATCGGTTTCTGATTTGGGTTTTGGGCCCTTTGTTCTCCGCGTTCGCAGATGAGACGGCAAGTGGGAGAAGATCACCTACGCCGGGATCGTGACCTGCACCCTTCTGGCGGCGTACAACCTCTTCAAGGGCCACCCACACTTCGAGGAGACGCCGGTCGTCAGGTCTCGCTCTCGAGTTCTCAGAATCTCTGATACGTAGGGCTCTGGTTTGTCTTGATTTGGCGATTTCGTGTTCACATCCAACTATTGTTTTGCTCAGTAAGTCTTCCCGGCGGCCATGCATGCGTTTGTTCTGTCCGCACTGGAGCAGCAACTCGCCGGCGCCGTCCAACAGAAGCAGCTCACCCCGCGCGCTCGCTGTCCGGCCGCTGCATCTCGCCCCACGCGCTTGGCCTGCTCCAGCGCGGCAGCTCGCCTCCCTCGCGGCAGGGATCAGGGAGGGCAGACAGGGAGACGCCGCAGATTGATGATTAGGTTAGGACCTCCTGTATGTCTTTCCGTTTTGTTATAATATAATCTGCTATTGTCAAGTTATCAAGTCTGTAATGTTGATGCCTCATAAGTTCGTATGTGTGAAATAACACGACCAAGTTATCAAGCCTATAATTAACTAAAAGCACAAATTTTGTCATGATATTTCTTAGGGGCATTATGACTATGTCAAGCCTGTAATGTTGATTGGCCCAGGGGAATGGTAGTAGCTAAAATTGTTAATAAAAGTTTATGTGTATATATATATGGTTATCCAATGGTATTTTTTGGCAGCTACTGGCAAGAATTCAACAGCTTTTGGTTTCAGCTGATATTGAATAAGCTGAAAAGCGATATTCAGAAGTTAGTTCCGGATGAAAGATCTTGAAACAAAATCTTAACAATTTAAGGAATTGAAAGAGCAGTTTGTATTTTTTTTTCTCCTTGCCATATTCTTTTAGGCATCTTCTTGATATTAGTATTAGTTAAAGTTTGTCTACAGGGTGCATTGTCTTGAATCATTTTTGTTTACTTGGCGCTGACAGTAAGTGCTCCATCTCTTATGATTTGTAAATTCTTTTTCTGTATCTGCCTTTTGTGTACTTGCATTTGGCTCCATAATCTTGGATGACACCTATGGGATTGTAGCTTACTTATATTAGGTGGAGAAGGTTCAGAACAGCACAACAAAATGAAGCCCATTATAATCTTGCACCTCTAGAAAGGATTAGTTCTGTTCACTAAATGGTTAACCAAAATGTCGATAGGTAGTGAGCTGGGCCTATGTTTTTTTATAGGGAATAGAAGTGTATTTTCTTCACCTACACTTTTTGGCACATGAATTGTTTTTTTACGAGGAGGGTGGCACATGAATTGGAGGCTGTTGTCTGCGTAGCAGCCGGAAGCAAGGAAGAAGCTGGGCAGCCGAATAGATGGACGCGGCTGCCTGCATAGCAGTGCTGTTGCAATATTAAGGTATTTTGATTTCCCTTTTTTTTCTTGGGACCCCTTTTTTGTTTGACCGTATTTGCTGGTACCAGGCGTGAACTTCTTTACACTGATGCAGAGGCTTCACCGGCAAATGTTTGCTAGAAGCTGTGTGCGGGCTTCTTGATGTTTCGTGTCGATGATGTTTTGGGGAGCAATTATTGATTTGGGCAATGTTTGATTTCTTACTAGCTTAATCTGATGCCTGCTGCATCCATTTTTTTTTTGCATAGACTGGGTAGCTTCTATGGAAGACAGGCTCGGTGCATGCAAGGTATTCGACACATTTGATCTACCTACACCTATGTGCACAGTTCTTTGAAACATTAGTATGCTCTGTTCCTTTGGGTTTCTGCACATGTAATGTGCGCTTACACTTTTTTTGCATGGTTGGTTCAGCACCTCAGCCAATGGTGAAGATGTCTCGTTTCCTCCAGCTGTAACTAAGAGGCAGCGCGAAGAAACCTTTCTTCCAATAGAGAAGGTAAAATTGTGTTCAAATATGCAAAATAAAAGGACAATGCTGCTGAATAAGAGCAGTACACAATAGAGCACTATAGCTAGACAGTTTTGCTTCATATTTTGTACTCACATGATAGGTGCCTACGGTTTATGCTAATAGATCTCTTTTCTTGATTGACCTTTTGTACTCGCATGATAGGTGCCAACGGTTTATGCTAATAGAGAAGGTACTCGCATGATATTTTGCAATGTAGTGTTTTATGCAACGATTTAGTACATAACTTTCTGATATGGAAGGAAAATGTTAGTACAGGATAGTAGATTCAGTAAGGAATTTCCTCCAGTTATTTCATTACTGTTAATTTTGATCTTTTGTAAAAGGTTGTAGCGTCAACGACAAGCCTGATAGCGTGGTTTGTTTCATGGTACTACTGCCCTCAGGCTCATTTAAAGATCCATAAATCTTTTGGCCAGGCAAATTAGTTTATGTTAAGAACATGCATTAGGAGTTGATTTGGAACCGTACAGGAGGTGTTGCTGGTGGGATAAGCCAACACTTGATGTATTAGGAGTTCCTATTGAGATTTTGCCAAAGATTATCAGTAATTCAGAGAAAATTGGTGTGGTCGCCAAAGAGTTCCCCTTTCCAGGTGTCCCCATCTTGGGGTGTCTTGGAGATCAGCATGCTGCTATGCTTGGGCAGCTGGGCAAATTATGCATTGGATTATAAGGTATGTGCAAATTGTGCAAATTATATAGTTTCTTCAATAAAATTGAATGTTCAATCTGGTGTGCCAAATTATGCATGACAGCAGTAGACTGTCAGATTCAAGTAGTACAAAAATCTTTTTACGCTGTATGAAGTCCAAACTATGTTTTCATCCTTGATTGTCTTGTTCATTTGCAAATTTAACACAAGTATGGACTGTCAAGCAAAAATAATTCTAAAAAAATTCACATTATCCACGTTTGTCTGCTTAGCGATATGTGTTCTTAACTTCTTGTGTGATATTACCTGGCACTGATCTTTCTCATTTATTTTCTTTGCAATTGTGAAAAACTAAAAACTGTTAAAGTTTGCATTGGATGACTGACGATAGCTTGTTGCTTCCTACTGTAGGTTGATTTATCTGTTATTAGACCAGCGGACAGAGACCACAGCCCTTGGAGCTGCATATGCTGCTGGGTTAGCTGCAGGAATCTGGACTAAAGAGCAGGTATTTGCAGGCTTGCATACGGAGAACATGACATTCTTCCGCCCGAAATTGGATGAGGCGCGCAGGAAGAAGAGAGCAGACTCGTGGTTCAAGGCGGTTTCAAGATCATTCGATTTGGCTGATATTGGTTATTGGCTTATCACCTGCCATTCTTCCAAGCATATGATGCCAAACATGTGAAAACAAATATTTTATTACCAAGTTTAGATCTTGTTGATTGGCAAACAAAAAAATAATATAAAATTTCAGATGCTCAAAAAAAATAATATAAATTTCAGCGCCTCCCGAAAATAGAAAACCGCTTTTGAAATTAATCGATGACCAATTTTGTCCGGTTTTGACAGTTGGAGGGTGTCTATTACCCGGTTTCATAGTTGAAGGTTGAAAATTGAACTACAATAGTTTCATAGTTGAAGGTTGAAAATCTAACTACAATGCGAGTTGGAGGTTGAAAAGTGTACTTTACCCTAAATAATACGAATGAAACATCAACATATACACAAAATAATTTCACTCGCAGAAATACAAATTAAAGGAATGAACCGATAAGAACAACCAGTTGGTTTTTAAAAGGAAATATAATGAAGCCACTAAAGCTCAGGGGTTATTCCTGGAAGCAAGCGTTGGTAGGAGTGGTAGGACCGACCCGGTTCCACCTAAAGATGGCAGCGGGCGTGATGCCCGCGGATACTGCCTTCTTATGCCCGCGCCCGCCAGCTAAATCTCTTGCCCGCGCCCGCGCCCGCGACCCGCCACAGGCAACAAACCACGCCCGCGCCCTCCATCCGCGGGCATGAAATGCCCGCGGGCATACCCGTGTGCCCGCCAGGTTGAGCATATACATAAACCATAGTGCATTACAAGAGATATGAAGATACATATTCACAACAAATCGTGTATATATACATATATTTGCCTGTAAGTCCCACATGTTAAACCTGTGGAGCGGGTCTGGCGGATAAGCGGGCGAGGATAGCATACGGGCATACGGGCATTCTGTGCCTGTTGCCATCTTTAGTTCCACCCACAAGGCAAAGGCATCGAACATCATGGGCGGCTGCACATGCAGAGAACGAAAACGTGCCGATGGCGTCTGGCCCTGGCCCGTAGACTTTGCCAGGTCTTCCTAAACAATTCAGGATAGATTTTTAGCTTACGAAATGGAGTTGGGTGCAAAAGATTTGTTGGCCCAGAAATAAAAAAGAAGTAGAGTGCGCGAGACTGTGTAGGTGCTGTCTTATATGCATCTCCAAGTCATGGTCTTCCCTTCCCATCGTCCGTCGTCCCACCCCCGCCTCACGAGTGAGCTCCGAGCGTGAGCGTGAGAGGCATCGTCGCTGGCTCTCACGGCAAATCTGCTGCGATTAACTGCAGGTGCGTAGTACGTGTACTTGCCTGCAGCTAACTCATGGAGATTCAGCATCGCATGCATGCCTTGTTTGTTGTTTTAATATATTGGTCACGGCTTCAACGGGTCGTCGTGTCTGCAGACTCTGCTCTAGCACTGTTGGTTCACTCCTGTAAGTCTGTGTTTAGTTCGTGAAATTTAGAAATTTAGCTACTGCAGTACTTTCGTTTTTATTTGGTAATTAGTGTTTAATCATAGACTAATTAGGCTCAAAACGTTCGCCTCGCGATTTCCAATCAAACTATGTAATTAGTTTTTTTTCGTCTACATTTAATGCTACATGCACGTATCGCAAGATTCGATGTAATAGCTACTGTAGCACTTTTTAAGAAACTTTTTGAAAACTAAACACAGCATAATGCAAAGTCTGCAACTCTGGATATCACGGTCAACATTAGGGCCTTGTTTAGATTGCAAGTTTTTTCACTCTCTCTCCATCACATCAAATCTTTGGACGCATGGAGTATTAAATGTAGATAAAAAAATAACTAATTACACAGTTTGATTATAAATTACGAGACGAATCTTTTGAGCCTAATTAGATTATGATTGAATAATAATTGTCAAATACAAACGAAAATACTATAATATTAAATACTGATTCCTAATCCCAGTATAAACAAGTCGTGGTTCACCCAGCGTATCTATCTCCGATTTCAAGATCACTGTCCTTTCGAGTGACCATTGATTGCAAACGGTAGCTGTCGTGCAGTTAGGTCGACTTAATTAACACCAGACCAGAGGTTCAGGTTCTGACTCTTGAGTTCATCCTACCTTTCTGTTATTACTTGATTCGGTAGTGTCTCGGATAAATCCTAAACTTGTCGATCGTGAACTTCGACTTCGCCTGGTGGATTTGGGTACTTCAAGATGTTTAAGAGAGCAGGTGACTTAGGCTAATTTTAATTTATTTTACAATAATTAAGTTCTACACTTAGCATATTTTACCTCTTATACCTCAAATGTGTTTCTACTGTTCTCACGTACAAAAGTTTTACACCTTAGGTTCCGATCCTACTTTAGCATGACAATTTTAGGAATGTAAAGACATAAAATGAATTGCTCAGATATAAATGCTTAAAGTAAAGAGAGAAAAAGGAACACGGTGATGTTTTTCCAAGGTATCAGAAAGTCGTCACTCCCCACTAGTCATCGTTGGAGCACCCGCGCAAGGGTGTAGCTCCCCCTTGATTCACGCAAGAATCAAGTGCTCTCTACGGGCTGATTCTTTAACACTCCGTCATGGTGAATCGTCCACAACCATTCACAACATGACTTGGGTCATACACAAGCTCCACAGGATGATCACCAAGCTCCCAATCACCACTGAGCCGTCTAGGTGATGGCGATCACCAAGAGTAACAAGTACAAACTCTCACTTGACCAAGACAAACCTAATGAGAAGGGTGGATGCACACTTGCTACTTCCTATACACTAATGAGGTCCTTAATCTTAAATTATCAAATCTCAATCACCTCACTAGACTCTTGATCTCCCTTACACTGTAAAGGTGTTTCTTAGCTGAACAAATGGGTAAGAGACCTCCTATGGACGAGTGGAGTAAGTATTTATACCCCCTCATTTAAAACATAACGTTTGGAGGCTGAGTCACCACTCTGCGGGCTGACCGGATGCTCCGGTCAGGTTGACCGGATGCTCCGGTCAGTTGTGCCCGCCACTATGACCAGCGTCCGGTCAGCACCAACCGGACGCATCCAGTCAAGAAAAGTTCTTTCTGGAACCTTACTGGAGTCGACTGGACGCAAGCACCCCAGCGTCCGGTGCTCCTCCACTCAGCGTCCGGTCAGTACCAGAAGACTGCAGTTGATCAAATGAACTGACCGGACTCACCCTCCAGCGTCCGGTCTCAACCAGACCAGCGTCCAGTCAGTCATTTGACCATCCATTCACTTCCAACTCAAAATCCTATGTGAATGAAGTTGACTCCAATTGATCTTAGGGCTATTTCTGAGCTATCTAGTGCTAAGTTTGACAAGTGTGCACCACACCTAATCTATTAGACTCACCTAGGTCAAGTTACTAGCCCATACCCCCCCTAATAGTACGACCATAGGAAAAACAAAGTCCTAAACTACTCTAAGTGTCTTTCCAACACCAAACGACACTTAGAACTAGTTCGTTCTTAACCTTGCCGTCCATCCTTTGAAAACCAAAACGATTTCCATCAATAGGGGCATGACAACCATGATTGCCCAATCAATTTTCATTACCATGACCTAACTAAAATTGCCTCTGTAAAACACATGTTAGTCATAGTAATTTTGTGTCGTCATTAATCACCAAAACCCAACTAGGGGCCTAGATGCTTTCAATCTCCCCATTTTGGTAATTGATGATAACATAACCTCGAGTATGTAAAAAAGATGAGTGAGATTTTCAACATGCTTGGTTCATATAAGCTTTTGACAATAAGAACAAAGGGGTTAGGCATGCTTATATGACCCAAGCCAACATGGTGTACTCAAAAGATATAAATTAAGCATGAGTACATGAAGTAAAGCTCATTTGAATCGGTGTAAAACGCGGAAGCAATGAAAATGAGCATAACCATAACCAAGTGACATGACACACACACACATATATATATACATACAGAGAGAGCACACATGTCACATAAGTTTTACCATCACATGTATATGATACAATGCATGAAGGTAAACGTGAATGCACGAAGTATCACACATAAAAGACAAAAAAGAATCGAATCGAGAGACCAAAAGAATCAAATCGAGACCATCTCACACGCTCCCCCCTAGATCTAACATACTCACTCCCTCTCCCCCTTTGGTGTCAAGCACCAAAACTTAAGGGTCGGACGGTGGGACAGGAGCAGACGAGTCAGGTGCTGAGGTGCGGTGAAAGATCTGCAACTGAGCTGCATCATCCTCTAACCCTGAACTCTGAGTGGTCCGACCCTCTGTAGCTAGAAGTGAAGGTGAAGCAGTGCAGGTGCCTTGCCAAGAACTAAGCGCGGCCTATGACTCTAGAGGTGTCACTATAGGAAGTGGAGCCATAAGCTTCTTTGTTGTCATTGTCATTTGAAGCCTCAAGTGTAGGAGTGACTGTCTGAGGTGGCTTGGACGATGCAACAAACGACGAAATCATCTCGGTAGTCCTGGTAACTAGAGCAACTATGGTAGGGCCAGGAACTCGTAACTCAGGAGGTGTAGGCTACCCTATAAGCTCACTGCAGGTAGCGCTGAGACTCCTAGAGACTGGGGTGTCCGTCACTAACACTGAGGAACTCTGAGTCGGAGTGGCGTCTATAACAATAGGAGTAAAGTGAGGACCATGAGTGTCACTAGTGAAGCAAACCACTTTGGTACACACCTCTGTAGGTGAAGCAAAGCCCCGAGTAGCTAGTTGTCCTCGACTCTGAAGCCCACTTGGGCTATACAAGCTGGAGTCCTTTGGAGTGGTGGTGGCGAGGCTAGCCTATCGAGAGGTGTATATTCTTGAGGAGCAACCCCAATAGTAGTGAATACATGCTGCATGAAGCCGAGTAACTACTGCTGAATCATAAGCTACTGCTGCTGCATGGCCTACTACTACCGCTGAAACTCATCATGTCCAGCCTGAACCTAAGCAAGTGCATTCACGGTCTCTGTGCTCGGCGTGCTGGTCTGCCTCATCCGCTCATCCGCCAAGCATACTAGGAGTGCCGGGTCTATCTCACGGTAGTGGTGGTGGTGAGTGAAGCCTTTGGCCTCTCTGTCGTGTGGTCAAGGAGCCATCTGTGGAATCAGCTGA